TACTCGTTTAAGATAAGTGTTGAAGGTCCGACCGTAAATACTGACACCATAATTAATTAGAGAATCTCCCAACGCATAGTATACCATGAGAAGTGTTCGCCTACTTAACACATTTTTTAAATGATTAAATTTTCCTAAAATTATTCTAAGTTTTCTATGTATGACCGTAGACGTATTGGAGGAGACAGTTCGAATTTTTCTTAAATAGTGAATCTCCAAGGAAATCTCGTCCTACTTTGTTTCTTGCATCCGGGAGTAACTATTCTAGTAGATCTTAAAATATTTTCCTTTGTTGTAGCAAACCATGCGTTATCGCTCCTAGCGTCAGGTCAAGTTTTTCAAGGATAGCCATAGATTTCTAGTTTGGTGTGACACTGCTAAGAGGTGGCTTGAAACTGTTTTTGCGTTTCTGAGTAACCGCGAGAAATGTTTGTATGGCCTACATTTATTTCTCTCGTGAGTTTGGGTGTAATTTGGGTCTAGGTCTAGTCTTTCACAGGGTTTCCCTAGTGCGGGGCTATGTTGAGTGTGTGCGTTATTTATTTATTTATTTTATCTGATATTTTGCCAGCCCTCTTGATCAAATCGTTGACAAGCTATCCCTTGTTTTAGAAAATGTGGGTTCGTTTTTGTAACTTTGGGGTCAGCTTCTGTAGTTGTCGTGTCAAAATTGAATGATTCTTCTCCTTTTGACTATAACGCAGCCAGCTTTGTCTGAGCTTCGACAATTTTCTGTTTTAATTCCGTTTCTCGTTCGCCTCTAGGAGAGGTATTAATTGACACTTTCAAGTGATAATCGGTTGTTGAACCCATAAATGCGTTTGTTTGTCGGATTGCGTGCTCTCTGGCATCGATTCGATCCGGAGGGTCCTCTTTTGAGGAGGGGTTACTATTGTTAGCTAGGAGTTTATCAATTTTGTTGTTTTATTCTTTTTTAGGAGATGAGGTTTTTTAACATGTCCATCTGCTGGTTCATAAATATAATTAGCAGACGATCGGTGCTGCCTAAACCTTGTGAATGGGTGTGGTGAAAAAAATAATTTTCAAAATCGATCCACAATTGACGGAGAAATCGAAAAACATAGATAAAACATACATACAGTCGAACGTATAACCTCCTCTTTTTTTTTAAAGTCCATTAAAAATCCATTACTGTGCTCTTCTCTAAACTTTTAAATCTAACTACTAATAATGAACTATGTGAACAGGCAAAAAGAAAACTCATACAGTCAACTGCCAAGTGTACGTAATTTAATCGTAACTTTAAAAAAATGACAGTAAAATATACTTGAAGTGCTTTGGTATCCTTTTCTGTCTTTTTTTATCTTTGTTCTATGTTCGCCGCGAAAGTAAGTTCTATAAATAACGAAAAATAACGAAAATGCACGCAAATACTATTTCAAATATTAAATTTTTTAAATTTTTTATGTTATAGATCTTCTCTTTAATATTCTATTATTTCCTCAGATGATTTGAGAAAATGACTATATAAGTCTCGGCGGGAACGGGGTTTGCTTGACTCGGACAAGTAACTCATACTCGTCCAACAATTCCTTATTTTCCGGCCTCTGCAATAATATACTATTACTTTTCAAACAACCCAACCCTTCGGGTCCTTTACGTGCGAATCGATAGCAATACATTGCGTAAGTCTTAGAGGAGCAGATGACCATGATGTTTCTAGGTAGATGTGGCTTTGCAATAAACAAGATTTTAGTTGCAAAAACTATTTATTTCATTACTTGTAGTTTTTAAAGCAGTTGTCAACAAGAGGAAATGTAAATTTAAATACGAGCGTTAATCCAAGACGCGAAGCTGGTCACCCTGGCGAAACCGGCAGGGAAGCCGCGCTGGCAACCCGCGGAAGAGCCGAAGGACGTAACACCGATCTAGAAAAAAGAAAGAATGTTATCACCAATTTTCAACATAATTTTAAAGTTTGGACACTGAAACCCAGATAACGGGGTTGGTCAGATCTCGTCTTACAATTTATAAAATGGACGTACCATTTTCCATGTTTGCTTCATCGACCAACACTCATCAAGACCATGAATAGGCTTCTTACCAGTATATTGCTGGTGACCAATGGACCACCAGAGTCACCACCGCAGGTGCTCCTGCCATTCGCACCGCTGGTGCAGAGGGTAGAGCCCACCACAACCGAGGAGCCGAAGGTGGATTGGCAGACTGCGTTGGTGATAACTGGGAGATCTACTTGATGGAGTGTTTGACCAGTAGTAATGCTGCCACCTGGAAAAAAGCATTATCGTTATCAATGTGGAAGTATTAATACAAATATAGAGCTCCAACTCAGCGACTAGATCAGGAACGGGAAGGGAGGGATAAGGTTGAATATTTCTTCAGAGCACTCGCCATGGTCATCGTTATCATAGCTGCTCCCCCAAAGAATGCCACAACGACCTGTCCTGCGCCGCTTGTATCCAGCGGACTCCCGCAGCCTTCACCAGATCATCAGACCACCTTGTGAGTGGTCTGCCCACGCTGCGGTCGCCACTCGAGAACTCTTCGTCCACATTGGCCATCTGTTTTGCAATTCTTTGGGGTTGCGGATATCCTCATTACTGATTCAATCTCGCAACGAAATTCCGAGCGTAGCCCTTTCCATTGCCCTTTGGGCGACCTTGCGCCACGTCTCGGTGCCGTAAATCATCACTCATCACTGGCCATGGTACATTCGATAAAAGGCGCTAACTTTGAAAAAAGAAAATAAGCTAGGATGCTACGTTTCGCTAGGGATTCGAGACTCGGTCAAGTTGACTTACCATCCCTTTGAAGTCCAAATCCAGCTGCTCTGGCAGTGGCGCCGGCGAAGTTATTGTTCAGCTGAGAACCCGTCGGAAGAGCGATGTTTCTGATGTTGTCTGGAAGGAAAAGTAAAAGTACCTAATTAGTCAATCGTATTTTTGTCAGAAAACAGCTTTTCCTTGCTGACGTAAAACTGTTTTTGTTAACAAGTCCCGTGTACCTGCATTCTTAATTATGTTGCGATAAAAATAAAAAAACTGTGAAATATACTTACTAGTATAGCCTACGTGGGAGATGGTGATAATTGCGATATCATTGTTCAAGTTGTTAGGATTGTAGCTGGCGTGAACCTGTAATAAATTGTATCATAAATGCACTGCTGTTTTTCATATCATCGGCAAGTCGTATTTTAATAAATGTTCAATTTACTTCGTCGTCGTTCAGCAGCTAACTACTAGATGGCAGCACATTCAATATAATATCAAATCGTCGTAATTTGAAATAATAGGTATTGACGGTATTGAACTCTCAATGATATGCCAACGGTAAACTTTAAATTACATTTACAATCCAGAAATTGTTATTTCTTATTAAATTTGAAGCTACGACCAATCATTATTAAGATTCCGTAGTTTCAAATTAAGAATAAGCGAGTTTTAGCGACACCGGTTCTGGTAGTAAAGGAAAAAAGAAAATTTTAGTTTTTAGAAAGTTTTACTATTATAATTCCAAATTATTAGAAACCATTACAACAACACACACAGCACGAATTCTAAGAAACCCACATCTCGTGATTGCTTGTCAAATAACCATTGTGGGTATTTACGTTTGTATGTTCATAGCGATAAATATTTACTTATGGACTCTGAAATATCTTTAATCGGAACGATTTGTAAATTAATTTCAGCATGTCTACCTGAACGTTAGAACTGGTAATCCTAGTGCCGCCGCTGAAGAGAGTTGTGGAGCCCAAAACCACAACCAACTGCCTGGCTGTGGTCGCGCCGTGCCTCCAGCAGTGAGCTGCGGTGACAGCCCTGGTGTTGGTGAGCAGCGACGATCCACAGACTGAGGTCTGGCCGGTTTGTAGGGTAACGACGAGACCACCCTGAGAAAAAATGAATAATAGTCATATAGCGTTGCTCCAAGTCGGTCTTGGTCTTGTCTAGACCAAAACCAAGATAATCTAATTGGAACAAGATTTGAGATCATTGCGTATTATAGTTACGACAGTCAAGCGTTGGGTCATGAAAAAATTTCCATTCTGAAAAAATCATATTTCTAGGAGATAGGATGTTTTTCCAATATAATGTCCTATAATTTTCCACATTTGTGGAAGTGTGAATGCAGGTGTGCTAAACCTTGAACTTTATTTTCTGTATACATTCCCTCTATGATATTAATAAAACAAAATATTAACAATAAACAAAATGTTTAACAACAACATACGGTAATTTAACAAACGCACTACGATAAGAAGACATTCGACCTCGAATAACACATAAGACACGATCAAAACGGCCGCACCAAAAATGTTTTTGACCCCGAATGTGTAATTATTTTCGTCCTTAAATCTAGTCTTTTTTATATTTAATATACTAAACGAAGAGCAGTAAAAATATATACTGAAAAATATCAATTGTACTAAGTTTTATCAGATTAGAGTTTAGTTAGAGTAATTTTGAAGCAAGTTTTTTTAAATTAAACAGGAAAAAAGTTTTTTTTATAAAATCAAGTGACGGGGCAGACAAGTTGTGCGCCAGGTGGTAGGCGACACACCTGTCCATAATAGTCGCAGTACCACTCAGACCTTTAAATCTGCCACTGCGCCTATCACCCTCAGACATAAGTTCCCTGTAATATAGGTAAGGTGGCAGCACTTCCCTGGACAACCTCTTTCACAAGAAGCTCTACTCTACTGAAGTTAGTCAATTGTGTACAATATATACCAAAAAGCGAAAAACTATCTGTACTCACAATCCATGGGTTGGAGCCCAAGCCCGCAGCGGATCCTCCAACGATTCTGTTACCACCGAAATCTGCTGATTCTTCACTCCTCTTTATGGCAGCAGCCTCCGGGATACCTAATAACAGAACATTGAACTGTTACTTCTGGTAATTGACATTAAAAATTATATAGCGAAAAGTTTAAGTTGACTAAAAAACAATTGAAGATCGGTTGAGAATTCTAGCAACAGTTAAAATTTGAAACTTTCGGAAACTTTAACTACCACTTTCTCGAAACTTAAGAATTGTGACGTGGATCTTTTTATTATAACTACGTCCATTTGTTTTCTCGAAATTCTTTCAAATTTGATTTTAAAATAAATTATGCATATGTATGTTTTTCCTGTTTCTAATGGCACAATTAGGCATTTTTAGCGTAGCAATGGCAACTAAGTGTTTATAACTTACGTTGGACACGTGAAGTAGGGCTATATACGGCGTCTATTTAGATATTATGTCTGTGGTCTTTATGATATGTTTTATGAAATTTAGACAATGGCGACCTTTTGAAGTTGCGAGTATATTACGAGGATGAGGGAAGTTAGAACTGTATTGCTTAAATCAAATTACGAAAGAGTTTTTCCTGAAAATTCCAGTAATTACCAATTCATAGTTTTTGTATGTGGATCCCGATAATGAAACGACGACATGGCTCCAAAGACTTGTACCCAAGCCAAAACTCTTATTAAAAAACAAGTTTACACATACACTAATGCGTTGTACTATAAAAGAAAGAAAATAATATAAGCCTTCGAATTATATTTTTACAGCGTAAGTATTTCAATAACCGACAATTTATCTCACCATCGCACTGAGTCCTTGTATTAATAATAATAGCGTTTATTCCTCCACAAAAATACGTACATAGTTCTTAGTAATTTAAGATACATGCAATAACTTATTTTTGGGAGCTGGTGCTTGTTAAAGGCTTAACGCCTGTACTACAAGTCACCAGGCTCTCACCCTTGGAAATGACACATGACAATCTTAAGGTATTACTAAGATTAATTGTTTATAAAGGAATAACATTTAAATAGTGAAAAAATACATTTGACATTATTGAACTATATACACCTAAAAGATCAAACTTAAATTAAAATTAAATTTAAAAACTTTTTTGCACGTAAAAGATATTTGACTATGAGTGCGTGTTGTATTATGTGTGTGTTTGTGCGCGCGTGTGCGTAATTACGGATATATATATACATATACATATAGAGATGTATTATAAAATAAATACAAGATTTGAAGTTGAAACAGAATACGTTGTACTTACCAATGGTCTCGTGGTAGTCTAGAGTGATGGGCTCGTATGTGGCCGGCATGGAAATGGCCAGCCCAAAGAGGCAGAACAGGACTACGCACTTCATGGTTGAAAAAAAAAACGTTTAACAAGTAATGAATTTGTTAAAAAATACCGCTACTCCAGTAGCGGTGTTGAATATAAAGAATGACAATGTGCAGTTGGCTTATATACTCACTGATTACGATTGAATTTAGATTAAAAGGTAAGGATTAAAAATGATTGATAATAGGTATTTATTGTTGGTTTTAACATTGGTAGTTAATCGTCATTAATACCTATTTATCATACTCATTTAAACAGGATAGATTAAAAGTTATACCTTAGTAAAAACCCAAAATAAGGCAGCCTAAGGGCCACGTGACCATGCTAAGAAAAGTCGTCGGGTTTATGCAAGAATTCGTGGCGTTTCTACACACGAACTGTGTACACTGCCTTTGCGCCGGACAAGAAAAAGTCTTGCTACCACGACGTCGGTCCGAAAGCATTCGTATCGACACGAGATGTTTTCGTGGCTAGATCCGACAAAGTTTTTATAGTTTACAAGATCATTCTCATGATTTCTGTAGCAGACACGTCGAATTTCTTAGCGTGTACAGGAGCCTATAAAAATAAATGTATATAACATTTTTAAGACTTTAAACATTGACTTACAAATAAATGGACGACGGATCTAATACAAAAACCACGAAAAAAATGTCCCAAGTGAACCTATTTAAACGTAGTGACATGTAAAGGAATATGAAAAAGCTAAAACGTTGAAATTAAATTGTAATGTCATCGCAGTACTGTCTAATTTTGCTTGCTTCGCTGTCAGTCGAACAAACGAAGACTAGAGCGTGAATGACGCTCTGTATACGATTTTAACGCCCTATAAGTTCGGACACTTTTTAGCGCGGACCCGACGTCCATATAATTGTAAGTCAATGACTTTAAAGGTCTAAAATATAGGAATGCAATAGTCTTGCATGAAAATAAATTAATAAAATGTAACAAAATCCAGTTTTTATTTAAAATAATAAGAGATGTCTATATTAATTTTTGCTTAGTAAACAATAGGACGTTCGGTGACTTCATTGTTCTAAATAACGCTTGTAACCTTTGCCGGTCGAGAAGTTCTAGTAATCGTACAGGTGTGACGTGTTTTCGGTTCGGTTTCGACAGTTTACCGTCCGATTCGGGTGTTTTGAACAAAAATTATTATTATTATTATTATTTCCTATTTATTGAGGGACAAACAGTTACACACATATAAAAAAAAATATATATTTTAAAATTAACTTATAAATAAACCCATAGTCCCCAAAATATACATTAAATAAAACAAAAAGTAGGTAAACAGACAATCTGATACACAATAAACAACACGGAAGAAATAAATGTATGTATGTGGTCTATGATAAACAATTTCAAATTATGAATAGATATAGCCACAGACATATAGACATAACACATACAACACAAAGAACACAAACTGCACACAGAGGTAACTCGCTGCGCTCAGGACCGGGCGTGTCATTACGTAACGGTACACAAGTCGTAATTGAATTGAAAAATAATTATTAACAATGCATTGAGTGACAAAAAAAAAAGTTAAATAAAAAGAAGAAAAAAAGAAAAAAAATCATACGATATCAAATTGAATCGTTCGACAACTGAGTTATCGTAAGGTTCGGAATCGACCCCCAGGATATCCTTTTCTCAAATTGTGGAATTGATTTTCTTATTTTAAGTTTAAGTCGTAAACAACATAAGCACCCTGTTACACGAGGCGAAAGTTTTCGCGCGCCCAATTACCACGCCATGGCGAGTCTGAATTCTATTTACTAGGCAGCAACATTTAAATTCCTCTGAATAATACAACAGCTCGGCCGCTGCGTAGACCAAATTCAAACCAGCCGCGCCCGCGTGCCCGGGATGTTAATTTAAGTCAAAACGTAAAAGCTGTGTAAATAGAGCGTATTTTGCCGTGACAGTTACGGCGGCCGCGCCGGGTGGCCGCGATGAAATTCGTGTCGAATAAAGGTGTTTCTCACTTTTCATGCTCTAAAAATACGCCGATATAGCGTTATCTAGTGGGAATACAGTGCATCCTACAATCCCTAGGGAATAATAATCTCAGTACAGAGTACTAAAAAAACCGACCTGAAAAGTGCGTGGATTTACGTCTATTTGCTAAGTTTTATTGAAACATTCCCTAGTTCGCCACTATACAGGACTTGACACTGGAGATAATAAAAATAGGTTCTCACTACGACATTACTCAAAGTATATAGAGAGAAAAACGCCTTGAATTGGAGAAATAGCAAAATCAACCATTAAAGTAATTGCTCCTAAATTAAAGTTAGACGCTATTTATAAAAATGAATCTTCATGTGTGAACAGCCACCCTTGGAGGTGGACGATTTTCTTCAAAATGAAATGGAAGTACCCCCTTTCCCACAAAAAAAGAATCATGAAAATCCGTTCGCAAATACCGGAGTTATCGCGTAACATACATACAAAAAAAAAGAACATACAGTCGAATTGAGAACCTCCTCCTTTTTTGAAGTCGGTTAAAAAGTACCAAATTTTTTAATTTATTTCGGGTGAACAAACTCAAACAGTCAGTAGTACCCTCGATTTTAGTTCCGTGCCTGTTCCGCATAGACGGTGGCGCCATATTGTTTTCCCACAGTGCATTTGTGGTACCTGTGTCTGGCTGGAAAAAAAAAACACCGAGAAATTTTCAGAATTTTGGTCCGTAATTTTGGCGCAGAGCGAAAACGATTGAAATATTTTCTTTTCTCACAATCGAAGTGAAAAGTAAAATTTCGAGACCTCGAGACTAAAAGCCTATATAAACTCTCGGAGTAATAGACCTCCTTTCTATAGCTCGGGTGGCTAACAACCTCAAGTATATAATGGCTCGTTGTAGTCCCTCTCTCGAAATTAGTGTTGCCCAAAATCAGTCTTGGTCTTGCAGCTTGCTCTTGGTCTTGCGAACAAGACCAAGACCGACCCTGCAAGATTTTAGCAAGAACAATACTGACTCTGCGAGACTCTTGCGGTCAAGTAAATACTTTGAATTAAGTTATTATAACCTACCAAGATTGTCATACAACTATAAATTCAAACACAGCCTTATTTACTAAAACAAGCGTAATCGAGTGTAGCAAACAGTGTTTACGAATTTTGATACTATAGTTTGCAGTCAATATTATGCTCTATCTCTTTTATGCGATTCATTGCTTATGGAGTTTGAAAGAGAAGCAATAGTTATTTTTATTTGCCGTCCGTCGGTGATATCTTATTTGGACGGTGCTATACATGTTTGCGTTAACCCGCGGAGTAACAATTTCCAGATATTGAGCATTAAAGATTTTTGATTATCTTTTATCATTGTTCCTTTGTTTTGCGAAGTTTGCGAGGACTATTATTTATATTTTATCAAAAGATTTGTAATTAACTAAGTATTTTAAGTTTATTATTCATTTTAGTTATTTAACTTGCGTCTGGTGATTAAATAACGATGGTTTATGCAAATCAATTTTTACATTGAGCTCCTGCGCTAGGCGCGCGGCGATTTAAGAGGGAGCAGAGGAAAAATTCCTAATCTTCGATTTGATTTTAGAGGGGTATATCCACTTTAAAGTTAAAAATAAAATATTGTTTGAGTAACTATACGATATATTCATGTATAGACACTAATCAGAAACATAAAACAATAAAGTTTCCTCGATAGATAAAAATCACGAAATGACCTCTAATTTTCACATTTTTTCGATTTATCCTCGAAATGCTACAGGTTATTGGGACAAAAATTAGATAATTAATTATATTTGTGCGTGATCGAAAACTGTCACTACGGTTTTTTTTAATCCCTTTAGTTTTAGAGATATTCCGCTAAAACGAATTTGGTACTTTTAATGCGCAAAATTCAATATCTCCTGTCGCGTGTCACGCGAACTTCAGGCATATATTTGTTTCACAAATTTGGGCGGAGCCAACGTCAAAACTTTTTTGGCATGAGAGCTCTTAAATTGCCTGCAGTGAATGTCGACTGTATGCAATCGGTTTCGTCGTTGGATTTGTATTATAAGGAATTCGCGCAAGCAGTACATTTGCCATATAGATAATAATCGATTTTATTTTCCCTTCCACAAAATACATATAATTGCTAGGAACAATTTACACGTAACATTTTGGTAAATATAATTTTGTGGGAGACTGATGCATTAAATAAAAATGCCAGTGCAGGTTCAAACCTCTCAGAAATACAAGTTAAAAACCACCAGCGAGAAATATTGAAATGTCGCTTCACAATCCACAGATACAAACATGTTGTGAGATATTATAACTTTCATTTAATATAATTTTCAAAATCAGTTTGATTGTTTCACAAGTGAGGCGCACTCCAAAGATGACGATAAAATCTTTCCAATGAACATTTTTTTTAACTAAGAAAAATATGTAAGTGATAAATGTATAAAAATCCTTGAAGACAAAAGTCTTCGAAGAGCTGGCTTGTCTGGAAATCTTTCCGGTAGACCTACGTTCAGCAGTGGACGTCTTCCGGCTGATATGATGACGTTGGTGAAATGTATATTCAATAGTAAGTTATCAATGTGTTGTTGTTCAAAGCGTAATTTCCTTACCTATGAAACAAAGACAAATTTTAATTAGATTGTTTCGATAATGTCTATACCTACGTCTACATGCGTCATATTAAGTGCTTCGCAGTATTCGCACGTGTATTGCTATCTAGTTAATTACACTAGTGCAATGCGGTTTGGTAAACTAAACGCCCTCGTTCTTGTTGATTGCAAAATGGCGATGATTTTGGGGCTCTGCAGTACGCAGTCTAGGTTTGGTTTTCTCTGTTGCTAAGCGTGTTTACGCCCTACATCCGATCGAATCCGAGAATATAGAAATCTAGAAAAGTAGGACCGACCTTCGAAGGTCACCAAGTCGGATACAAATCTTAGAATATACGAATATCACTTAATAACGCACACACTCAACATAGCTAACAATGGAAACCCTGTGTCGCGGGCGCCATGGACTCACACATAGACAAGTACAAATTACACCCAAACTCATGAGAGAAATAAATGTAGGCCATATAAATATTTCTCTCGCGTGGCAGAC